TGATATAGTATTTATAGTATGTGAAATCTCATGAATATCTAGTAAACTATACCTATTATAGTTTTTCCAAAAGTGTGATTCGTTTGTATGATAAACCCTAGTGTAGTGTCGACTTTGTATGTAAAGTATAACATTTGTAATAACATTATTGAACATTTATACTCGAAATATAAATAAAGTGTTTCATATTTACTTAACAACATGTTTCATTCCAAAAAGGACAGAGTGTTCTCGTGATATGTTGTATGAGAACGTTTTCGTATGATAGTTATAAATCACATATGATTGATTATAACAAAAAGTATAACAAAAGATTTATGTTATTCACACGAGGATAATCGTGTGTTTACTTGTATCCCCCCCCCCTTAAAAGTGTATAAAAGCATTTACAAAGTATTTGAAAACGTAGTTATAGGGGTATGAACTCACTTGATAGAGTGAAGATGGTGAGATGAAAACCGAGCAGAACTTCGACAGGAGAAAGCGGATTTTCTCGGGATTCTCGGGAATTCTCGAGAGTGTAAGACCTTCCTTTGAAACTTGGATGCGAAGACCGGGGCTTTGGGATGGCTTCGGGGGTTAAAACGCAGATCTTCGGCACGAGAGAGAAGAGAATTGAACAATGAAACCCGGAACCCTTGAGCTCTATTTATAGTCCAAGTTTTTGGGCCCCACGTCGTGGCCATAAGGTTGCCACGTCGTGGCCTCGATCTTATCCTCTTCCATGGACGAGACGTTTGCTGCCAAGCCTGAAACCCCCATCAATCAGGTCCCCACGTCGTGGCCTTCTGCTCCACGTCGTGGCCAGCCTGACAGCCTCGGATTTTGTGTCTCGAACTTGTAAAATCCGTAACTTCTGCATACGAGCTTCGTTTTCGACGTTTTATATATGCACGCGTAGGTGAGAATATGCTCTACAACTCTCGTTTAGATTTTGTCGGCTAATTTTGATTTTATTTTTAATTAATTATTTTTAACAGGCCGGGACACGAAAACTCCGTCATAAATCCATAACTCCTTCATCCGATACCCGTTTTTGTCAGACTTTTTACCGTTGCGCTACTATTGTTGAGATCTTCGATTCTCATTTAGATTGTTTCGGCCAAAAATCCCTCGATCTCTATTTCGAGTTTTTAGCTGTCTACTGCTATATCCGAAACTTCGAAAAATCATAACTTCCTCATACGAAGTCAGATTTGGGCGTTCTTTTTATGTATGTTCACGGTTTAACGATATCTACGACTTTCGTTTAGATACTTAAGGATAAAAAGTATTTTTATTAAAATTTCGCGTTTAACGTTTAATCGTATTGACGGTTTTGTTGTGAATCTTAGGTTGGTCATAACTTCTTCGTTATAACTCGGATTCTAGTGTTCTTTATATTTCTGAAAACCTTGACATGATAACTATCATTTTAGGCAACCCAATAGAGACTTTTGAACATTTTATTTTTGATGCTAATTTCATTATATCAGAAGAGATTACAATTCTTGACTTTTCAGGTCATTACATTGATTCGAAATATCGGGTTGTCACAGCAATTGCATATTATATTAAGAATGTCTGGTACTTCACTATTTTTGATTTATTTTGTAGGCATTATGGAGCTTGGAGCATAGAGCATGGAGCAGGAAACTTGGAACATGGAGCATAGAGCTTTGAAGCATGAAGAGAAGATGGACCGGTCATGCCATGGAAGAAAACATGAAGACATAACCCGAGTCCTTGTTGTATTATCATCATAAAACACGGTTCGTGTCACACCGAAGCAGGTCGTGTTTGTCATTTCTCATGTTATATTTGAGCAACATGACTCGTGGTGAAGCTAGACTGAAGAAGGAGCGCTAAAAACACATGGTCAAGACACATGGCCATGCCAAAAACACATGGGCAAAAGGCATGGCCATGCTAAAACGCATGGTCTCATGGAATACATGTGAACAGTTAATTGTGGTGCTAAATTGGAAGTGATCGACACTTATCATACACGGACGGTTTTGGGAGCTTTCTCTGGCAATTTTGGGAGATTTTTGGGAGCTTTTGAAGGCTACTAATCATTGCAAACACTTTTGATTTCCTTTTGTAAGCATTAAAGATTTCCAATTCCATCTTTCTTTTTGATTGATTTGTTCTTAGCCATGTGTGGCTAAGAAATCCTAATTTCTAGTTTGTGTTCAAAACATGTTGCTTGCTTGACTTGAAGCATATGATTTGATGTTTGATTTGTGATTCTATTCTAGTGATTATGTTTTTGTTTAAACTAGAACCCTTGAATTTGATTTGTGTTTGATTGGCCACTTTCATGAATTGAATTTTTGTGTAGTTAATTAACTTTTAGGGCACCTAATCATTCTATTAAGTTAAAAATTGGTAACAAACAATAAGTTTTCTTATTCTAAAACATATATCACATGTTTTCTCACTTCTGAGCGTATGAGAAGAAATGAACATTGTTGGGGAGCTTGTACAAAACGTAATGCAATTTTTCAATACAATCGAATAGCGTGTTTAGGTTGAATTAGTAAAGCTAGGTCTAGTCAAAGAGTGTGTTTTGGTTAGATAATTTGGCAAGAGAGAGGTATTAGAGCATGTTAATATCTTTCTGTACCAACTTAGAATAGCAACCATGAATTACGTCATGTCATAATCAAGTTGAACAACAACATTGAGAACTAGAACTAGAACCCTTCAATCAAATTGTTTACAAGTTTATTTCATTTTCTGCATGTTTTTAAAGTAGAATGTTATTTTATTATTTTACTTTTACAAACAAAACCCCCTTTTGTAATCAAAGTACCTTGCGCAAAGAGGTATAGACTTTTATCCTCTGTCTCTGTGGTTCGACCCTACTCACCGTGTACTACTTTTTAGTGCATTAAAGCAGTGTATTTGGAGTCTGTTGTACCCCTATTATTTGTTGGGTTTGACACGCCTAATAGTAGTTTTATGAATTTGCTCCAAACCGGTTCACCTATCCAACAAACACAACTTTTCCAACAACAATTTCAAACTTTCCCGCCCTATCAACAACAATTCCAACCCGGTTTCGTATACCAACAAGCTTTCGAAACCACAACCTTTACAACCACAACCATCACAATCACCACCTTCACAGCCCCCTCTTTCGCCAGATTTTGTGTCGGAAACACAACCTTCACTACCACCACCCTAACCCAAAAAAGGAAAAAAAAAAAAAAAAAAAACTCGTCCAAACTAATACAACCGATAGGGTTCCATGGACAAAAGAGGAAAAAGAAAAGCTATCGGAGGCGTGGGTATCGACTTCCCAAGACCCAATTGAAGGAGGTAGTCAAACCCTTAATTGTTTTTGGGAGAAAGTGCAAAGCGTGTTCTACGAGTTAATGAGAAGTGAAAGTCGAAATCCCGACAAAATTAGCTCGATGTGGTGCGATTTGAGGCTAAAATGTACTGAATTTGGAGGAATTTACAACAACCTCAACAACGATGTGTTTAAGGCGGCCTTGGATCAATATAAAAAACAACGGCGACCCACAAAGCTTTTCCATATCTCAAACCGTGGCTAAAATTGAAAGATGCTCCAAAATGGAAAAAACAAACCGAAGGAACTTCAAACCTCTTCCGGTTCAAAGCGCTCAAGATACCCTGGTGCAAATTCCCAACAATCGGACAAGCGAACACACATCGACATCAACGACGATCCAATAGATCTTGAAGACGAGCAACATCTTCGCCGGCCCGTTGGAAGAAATAAAGCAAAAAAACGGGTATATCGGCTTCGGTATCTAACGTTATCGATCATTTTGGAGACAAATTTGATCGATATGTCCAAATACATGAGAACAAGGCGGGGATGATGAGTCGAGTGGAACAAAAAATGTTAAAAGCGCAAACGTCATTTCAAGAGGCACAAACGATGCTTTAAAGAAAAACTGATATGAAGATATTGAAGATGAAAACGGACGATCTTAAAGTCGAAGATTTGGATATATTTCTCGCGATTAAAGAGTCCGTTCGAACCCCGATATAGGAATAAGGGGTATGTTTTTTTTGTAGTTATGTTTGACATTTTTAGTTTTTTTTAACGTTGGGTTTTTTATTTTTTTTATTTAATGTAATGTGGTATTTTAATTCTATGAGAAAACTAGTTTGTTTTTTTTTTTTAATATATATGTTTTTAATGTATTTTTGAATTAAAAAAAATAAAAAAAATAATATGGAGTTGTGTGTTAGTAATAGGAATCTTATGGTTTCAGTGATAGGATCTTGTTAATGATGTGGGTTAATGATGTGGATTGTGGATAAACCAAAATGTTTTATCGCTGTTATCCATTCTCTTACGTCTAATGAGGTTTTTGTGATGATAACAATTAGCTCAGTCGGAAATTATGAATCCGTTAGGGTTAACTGAGGATTTCTGCGTAAACAAAACTTATAATCTCAATTAAAAAAAATGAAGTTAAAGGCACGGCGGCTGAGAGTGGCTACGGCTATTAAGTATCGACTCTAGTGAATCGATGCACATTGCTTCTACGACTTGATATCCATCACATTCAGTTATCTTTAGATTCCATTTATATATTATTTATTCTGTTTCATTAAATGATAATATTTTTTATTTTGAACGTGGTATGAAAACCATTACTTTTTCTAGTTATATATTTGTTTTTACTATAGCCAAAATGGTCAAAATCAACTTTAGCGTTCAAAATGGTCAAATCGACCATCAACTTTAGATATAAATATGTTCAAACCGATAGGCATAAACGAAAGTTAAATTAGATGGCTTAAATGAGACAGATATACAATTTCAAACAATCACATTCATAAGAAAATCTTTTACAAATTTACTAAAAAAAAGGAAAAAAAAAGAACCAACCTTGAAGGTAATAAAGCCATTAAGAACATTTTGTGTTTTAAGTACTAAATTATCTTCTAAACGAGGAAAAATAAATCAACACACCATATTACCTAAAACTCACCAACTATATATAAGCTTCTGATATATGTTTCTTATTTATCTACCTTTCCATGTCAAGTGGAGAAAAAGATTTCTGCATTTGAAGAAAGCTCTGTGATTCGTCGAGTTTCCTTTGAGCCTCGATATCTTCATGTATTTGTTCTTTATCGTAACTTGTTAGTGTTTGGTACTCAACTTTCTCCTCGTAGATTTTATACATGACCAAGTAAAGCGAGACAGCAAAGATTTTCACGCAGATTAGATACCAGCTAAATTGAATATTCACCAATGACTTAGCGCGTTCTAAGGCTTCTTCCCCATGGCACCTGACCACATGATGACCCTCTTCAAGGTTCAAGAAACAACCTTTAGGAATCAAGCTTCTAGTCCAAAGCATGAAACCCATGACCATGAGCCAAAGACCTTGAAAGAATATGCTAATGGACCTTATGAAGCTAACCATGAAGCTTTTCTGGTAGCTAATGCCCATAAGGGTGGTAATTAAAGAAATAAGAATTAGTATTTGTAGAAGCATATGATATTGTCCTTCAACACCCATGTGGTCAGCTGAGTGGAGGTGGAAGAGGAGGAGTTGTTGCCCAAAGGCAATACCTGCAAGCAACTGAGTCAACTCGTATTGGGCTTTGGGTACAAACTTGTCTAGTAGTATCGCAAAGGCAGCATAGACCAAAAAGGTCAGGGAAATGAATGAGTGTTCAAAGTTGTGTAGATGGTTGGAAGGAATGGTGCCATCTGTGTCAAACGGCTGGTGACGATCTGGTCCAATAAATAGCTCCATAGCTATTGACATGGAACAACCTACCATGATCAAGTAAAGCTCCAAATACCTTATCTTAATGGAGGGAAACCATGGCAGAGAATGATAGGTTTTGTGGTTTTGAACATGAAGTTTGATATGGTTAAAAAGGTGCCAAAAACCGATGACAAAGAAACCAAACCCTGGTGCCACATGTCCCACCAAAGTGCCCATGTGTTAGTTGTCTGTGTTTAAGGTGTTGTATGTGTGAGAGAAAAATGAGAAGAGAGAGAATTGAAAAGAACGCTAAAAGTGAATGAAAATTGCGAAAGGAAAATGGCTTTTAAAGGAGTTGGATTGAACGCCTAGAGTCTTCCAATGGGGCTTGTCAAAATCTTTTTTTAAGATTAATCTATGGATGTTTCTTTTTTGTTTGAATGAGATTGAAAGATTTGAACAAATTCAGGGGACACCTCATTTGGAGACTAAGGAATGAGATTAATTATAGTCGACTATTAACCCTTTCTATTTAAATTGTTTTTCTCTTTCTAAAAAGCTCCATATTCTAAAATACATTTAAATAATTAAATCTTATTTGGTAAGATTACTTGTATAGATGCATCGAATCTATATACTTTTACTAATTCACATAATAAAATGGAGTTTATAAAACAATATTTCAATTTCTTGTCAATCTTTTTTTACCCGTATGCAAATTGGTAACTAGTACTAATTTAAAATAAAATTAAATATTATTGATAAAGAAATCTCTATGTAGTTACATATTTGATAAAAATATAGAACTTCCTTAGATGTAAAAATTATGAACCCATATTACTTGTTTTTATTTTAGACTAGGCGAAAATCGGTGTGTTGCATAAAAATAAAGCTATATTAATTAAAATTATAACAAATATATTGAATTGATTACAATAATATAATTAAATTATTAATACATCTATAGTATTAAAAATAGCTATATCATTGTTATTAATTTATAATTGATTTTTATACTAATTTGTTAGAACATATTCTAATTATTTTAAATATATGATAAAATACATACATATTAAAACCACATAATTTCAATAGTCGTTATCCATGAGTTTCATATCAAAACAAATAATAAACCTCTTTATTAAAAAGACAAAACTGCAAATTTGGTCCATGTGGTTTTCAAAAACCTTTGGATGGGGTCCAAAAAGTTTCCAACTTGCATGGAAGGTCCAAAATCAAGGTTTTTCTGAGTTTTTTGGTCCAAAAAAACTTAAAAAGACGATTATGCCCTTTTATTTTCTTTTTTGTGTTTTTTATAATTATTTTAATGGTGTTTTAATTAAAAAATAAAGAAAAAAGAAAAAAAGTATCCCCACCCCACCCACTGCTCTCTCTCTCTCTCTCTCTCTCTCTCTCTCTCTCTCTCTCTCTCTCTAAAATCTCATGGACTTCATCTTTGATATCCCCAAATTGATGAACAAAAGCTAAAATCAAGCAATAGAAAGAAATTGAAACCCAAACACACAGACACACACATTCTAACACAAAGCACCCACATCGATTGGAAACAATCTCATCACAGTGAGTCTCTTGTCTCGATCGGACGAAGCAAATAAGAGGGGGAAGGCAATCACCTTCAAATTAGAGTGGTGGTTTGACAGAGAAAGTCGACGGAAGCAGCATTCGGAGGTGGCGATGGTTCACAGCAGTGGCAGCAACGAGGTGGTGGTCGGTGACAGGTGGCTAGCGATAGCAGCTCCGCTGCATCGTTCCCTTTGCGTCTGGTAGCACACGACGGGGAAGACAAGGGAGAAGGGGAGAGTTTGGTGGTGGTCAAAAACTGTGGTGGTAGGAGGGTAATGACGACCACAAGCAGTGGCGGTCGTGGGTGGCAGAGGTTGCTACGGCAGCCTCCTGCTGTTGTGTCCGGGTTTCTGCTTGACGAGAATGACGAGAGGCATATATGGGAAGGTGACAGGGGGTCGAAGTAGGGCAGGAGATACAAAGGAGGGGGTGTTTGGGTTGTTGTTGTCTTGGTGGTCGGGAAAACGGCTTCACCTCCGGTGGATTTTCTTGGCCGTGAATGAAGAAGAAGGAGGAGGGGTAGTATTTGTATGGTAAGATGCAAACCAAAGGGGGAAGAGATGGTATCCAAGGAGAGAGAAGTGAGAGATGAGCGAGAGAGAGAGAGATTGAGAGGTTTTTTTTTTTTATTATTTCACTACCAAAACTACATAAAGAAATAGAAAAATAAAATGAAAACGGGTTTAAAATCGTCTTTTCAAGTGTATCAGGGACCAAAAACCCAGAAAAACTTTGATTTTGGATCTTCGATGCAAGTTGGAAATTTTTTGGACCCTATCCAAAGGTTTTTGAAAACCACAGGGACTAAATTTGCAATTTTATCATTTTTTTAGCAATTTTTAACTGTTAATTTTAATCAAATTTGATAAAAAAAATTTGTGATCATATGATTCAGTCAATGGAATCTATGTGTAGGCAGTGTGCTAATTTGAAGTTTCAATTTAGTTGTGATATTTATCATTATATTTTAAATTTTATTATTTTTAAATAATTATGAAACTATCTTTTTGAAAAAAAAATATATTATAATAACAAATAGTTTTATTATTTTTAAGTAATTAAAAAACACCTCTTTCGAATAATTTCATTATTCTATAAAATAATATAATAAAATAGACATTTATTAGAATGTTTGAAATTGAATTTGATTGTATTTATTCGTAGGTTGCAAGCAAATGAAAGCTATGTATAATTTATCATTTCGTCAAGTCTTTGGCTACTAATATTTAGTTATTCTTTACATGTTATTAATGTCACTCATCATTTTATAGAAATTTTTTTGATTATTTTGGGTGTTAGTTTTGTTGATAAATTATAAAACAACAACACAATATAAGTTTTAAGTGGAAATTAGAAAATTATGACATAATATTAAAATGACAAACAAAAGAATAACACTAATAATAGAAACAATAACAATTTCAACTAAAAATTAGAGAATCAAGAAAATATATTGAAATGATAAACAAAAACAAAACCGTAATAATATAAACTAATGTGCAAAAAAAGTAATTTAACATGAAGAAAGAAATAGAAGAGAGGGCTACTAATAATATATTTGATTAAAAGTACTTTTAAAAATCAAATTATTCATCATGACCTATGTTGTAAAAAACTTTGTGTATTTTTATTTCTTCTTTCTTCAATCTTATTCTTGAAATCTTAACAATCTAATCTACATCCATGAACTATATATATACACACTAAATCACCTAACTAAGATACCATAAGTTACAAAAACTCTAGAGTTATAATAGTTAATTAGTTAAAGGTAACGCGTTTTAATATTAAAGTAATATTAAATATGATTATAAAAAACATTTTGATTTGTAGTAATTAGATTATAAATTGAAAAATTATAAGTTTTAAATTAATATGGTTGAAGTATTTTGGCCTCTTTTATAGTAGACTAGACGTATACCTGCACGTTGCACATGAATAAAAAACATGATAAAATAGATGATTTACATATCAAAATTATTTTACCCTCGTATTCCAATTTAATATTAATAAGATTAAATATATTTATCAACATTGTATTACTTTTATTTATGTTGTGATAAAGCTCCATGAAAGGTATATATATATATAGATCTATACTCATATAGATAAGATATATATATATATATAATATATATATATAATATATATTCTCTATATCTATAGTACAACAATCACCCAATTAACGTACCATATGTTATAAAAACTCAATAGTTATGATAGTTAATTAGTTAAAGGTAAACAATTTTAATAAAAAATAATATTTAATACAACTATAAAAAAAATCTTTTGAGGTATAGTAATTAGAAGAGACATTGAAAAGTTGTAAGTTTCAAATTAATATGATTGAAGTATTTTGGCATCTTTTATACTAGACTAGGCATATACATGCGAGTTGCATATTATTAAATAACGTGATATAATACATGATTTGCATATCAAAATATTTTTATTCCAATTTCATATAAATAAGAGTAAATATATTTAACAATTTTGTATTACTTTTATTTATTGCTATGATTAACCTGAATATAACTTATACTAGTCTGATTTTTTTTGTTTTTTTATTTCGATCAATCTTAATACTTTATATATATATATATAATATATATATATATATATATATATATATATATATACACGGAAAAAGTGAATATACATTACAGCTCAACCTAAGCTTAAGTACTAAATCTCATTAAACTACGTCGTTTTATTAGCTAAAGATTGCAATTAGGGATTCATAATTAACAATTGATGTTGCAGATTCAATATTGAAGCAATAATTTTGATAGGGAATCAAAAATGTTAATTATCTTTGACCTTCGTGATGGTGGAAAATAGTAATGTTCACTGACGTGAAGTAATAGATAATAATTAAGGAAAGAAAACATGGATGGTTAAACGATAATAGAGGAAAGAAATGCAATGGAGAATTATATATTTACCAAGTGAAAACTGAATCGGTTATATTTACTAAGATAAAACTGTATAATTTAGAGGTTTAGTATCTAAGCTTAAGTAGGGCTGTAATGTGTGTGTGTGTGTGTGTGTGTGTGTGTGTTGTGTGTGTGTGTATATATATTATATAATATATATATATATATATATATAGAGAGAGAGAGAGAGAGAGAGAGGAAGGATCATTTGAGAACTCAAAGTTTTCCCGAGAACCCGAGAACCGGTCGTGAGCCGTTAGATCAAAATAATAAAAGGCTGGGATGCTTTGTGGCGTTTTTGTAAATACTTTGAAAAAAAGGACAAGGGGGCATCATAATTATTATGAATCAGGGACATTTTAGTAAATAAATAATTCAGACCCCTATCATCAAATTAAATCACGTCAACCCCCACCTACCTTTCTCTTTCTCTCTCTCTCTCTCTCTCTCTCTCTCTCTCTCTCTCTATCTATCTATCTATCTATCTATCTATCTATCTATTTATCTATCTATCTATCTATCTATCTATATATCTATCTATCTATATCCCTC